AGCCCAGGACCAGATGGTTTTAGTGCTGAATTCTATCAGACCTTCAAGGAAGACCTAATACCAATTCTCTTCAAACTATTCCACAAAATAGAGACAGAAGGAACACTACCCAATTCGTTCTATGAAGCTACAATTACACTCATACCCAAACCCCACAAGGACCCGACAAAGAAAGAGAACTTCAGACCAATCTCCCTTATGAACATCGATGCAAAAATACTCAATAAAATTCTAGCAAACCAAATCCAAGACCACATCAAAACAATCATCCATCATGATCAAGTAGGTTTTAATCCCAGGAATGCAGGGATGGTTCAATATTCGGAAATCCATCAATGTAATCCACTATATAAACAAACTTAAAGAAAAAAACCACATGATCATCTCACTAGATGCTGAGAAAGCATTTGACAAAATTCAACATCCCTTCATGATAAAAGTCTTGGAAAGATCAGGAATTCAAGGCCCCTATCTAAACATAGTAAAAGCAATTTACAGCAAACCTGTAGCCAACATCAAGCTAAATGGAGAGAAACTTGAAGCAATCCCACTAAGATCAGGGACTAGACAAGGTTGCCCACTCTCCCCCTACCTATTCAATATAGTACTGGAAGTCTTAGCCAGAGCAATTAGACAGCAAAAAGAAGTCAAAGGGATACAAATAGGAAAGGAAGAAGTCAAAATATCGCTATTTGCAGATGATATGATAGTATACTTAAGTGACCCCCAAACTTCCACCAGAGAACTCCTAAACCTGATAAACAACTTCAGCAAAGTGGCTGGTTATAAAATCAACTCAAACAAATCAGTAGCCTTCCTCTACATGAAAGATAAACAGACTGAAAAAGAAATTAGGGAAATGACACCCTTCACAATAGTTGCAAATAATATAAAATACCTTGGTGTGAATCTAACCAAGTAAGTGAAAGACCTGTATGACAAGAACTTCAAGTCTCTGAAGAAAGAAATTGAAGAAGATCTCAGAAGATGGAAAGATCTCCCATGCTCATGGATTGGCAGGATTAATATAATAAAAATGGCCATCTTGCCAAAAGCAATCTACAGATTCAATGCAATCCCCATTAAAATCCCAACTCAATTCTTCACAGAGTTAGAAAAGGAAATTCTCAAATTCATATGGAATAACAAAAAACCCAGGATAGCGAAAACTATTCTCAACAATAAAAGAACTTCTGGAGGAATCACCATCCCTGACCTCAAGCTGTACTACAGAGCAATAGTGATAAAAACTACCTGGTATTGGTACAGAGACAGGCAGGAAGATCAATGGAATAGAATTGAAGACCCAGAAATGAACCCACACTCCTATGGTCACTTGATCTTTGACAAAGGAGCTAAAACTGTCCAGTGGAAAAAGGACAGCATTTTCAACAAATGGTGCTGGTTCAACTGGAAGACAACATGTAGAAGAATGAAAATTGATCCATTCTTATCCCCTTGTACAAAGCTCAAGTCTAAGTGGATAAAGGACCTCCACATAAAACCAGATACACTGAAACTAATAGAAGAGAAGGTGGGGAAAAGCCTCGAATACTTGGGCACAGGGGAAAAGTTCCTGAACAGAACTCCAATGGCATATGCTCTAAGATCGAGAATTGACAAATGGGACTTCATAAAATTGCAAAGTTTCTGTAAGGCAAAGGACACTGTCAATAGGACAAAACAACAACCAACAAATTGGGAAAAGATCTTTACCAATCCTTCATCTGATAGAGGGCTAATATCCAATATATACAAAGAACTCAAGAAATTAGACTCCAGACAACCAAATTACCCTATTAAAAAATGGGGTATAGAGCTTAACAAAGAATTTTCAACAGAAGAAACTCGAATGGCCGAGAAGCACCTAAAGAAATGCTCGGCATCCTTAGTCGTCAGGGAAATGCAAATCAAAACAACCCTGAGATTCCATCTCACACCAGTCAGAATGGCTAAGATTAAAAACTCAGGTGATAGTAGATGCTGGCGAGGGTGTGGAGAAAGAGGAACACTCCTCCATTGTTGGTGGGACTGCAAGATGGTGCAACCACTTTGGAAATCAGTCTGGCGGATCCTCAGAAAATTGGACATAGCATTACCCGAGGATCCAGCTATACCACTCCTAGGCATATACCCAGAAGATGCTCGAACATATAACAAGGACATATGCTCAACTATGTTCATAGCAGCCTTATTTATAATAGCCAGGAGCTGGAAAGAACCCAGATGTCCTTCAACTGAGGAATGGATTCAAAAAATGTGGTATATTTACACAATGGAGTATTACTCAGCTATTAAAAACAATGAATTCGAGAGGTTCCTAGGTAAATGGATGGAACTAGAAATTATCATCCTGAGTGAGGTAAGCCAATCACAAAAGAACACACATGGTATTCACTCACTGATTATTGGATATTAGCCTAGAACCTTGAAATGCCCAAGATGCAACTCACAGGCCACATGAAGCCCATAAAGAAGGAAGACCAAGTGAGGGTGATTCGGTCCTTCTTAGAAGGAGCAACAAAATACTCAAGGGAGCAAATATGGAGACAAAGTGAGGGACAGAAACTGAAGGAGGGGCCGTCTCAAGACCACTCCACCTGAGTATCTATCCCATGTGCAATCACCAAAGGTAGATGCTGATGTGGAAGACAGGAAGTGCATGCTGATAAGAGCCTGATATGGATATCTCCTCAGAGGCCTTCAAGAGTCAGACATATTCAGAGGCAGATGCTCACAACTAGCCATTGAACTGATCATGGGGTTCTCAGTAGAGGAGTTAGAGTGAAGACTGAAGGAGCTGAAAGGATTTGCGGCACCATGAGGAGAGCAACAATACCAACCAACCACAGCTCCCAGGGTCTAAACCACCAGCCTGGGAGCACTTAGGGGGGGATCCAGGGCTTCAGCTGAATATGTAAAAGTGGAGGGCCCTGCTGGGCATAGGTGGAAGAAGAGAACCTTGACCTCATGAAGGCTGGATGCCCCAGGGGGTGGGAATTTTGAGGGTGGGGAGGTGGGAGTGGGGGGGGTAGATAGAGGTTACATCCACAGAGAAGAAGGAGGAGGGGCGAGGGGATTGGGGGTTCCGAGGGGGTGGTGGGGGATGGGGTAAGGGGACAACATAGGAAATGTAAATAAATCATCCAATAAAAAAAAAAAGAAAACAATCAAACCTGCTTCTTTCTATTGTTACCAAAAAATAAAAAAAAACAGTAACAATAGAACATCTATCTAGTCAGAGGAACAATGTCCAAGCTGTGAGGTAGGCAGGCAGTAAGAAGCCAACTCTCAGGTTCCTTATGGAAATTTCCTGTAAAACAAGCTGAAAAAAAAATAAGCCTACCATGGTAAATGTCTTTGGTGGCCATGATCAGGATAAGCCAAGTGAGAAGGAGCCTGGTGCAACGGATGAGTCCTTCTCCTGGCAGAAAGGCCTCATCTTGGAGCCAACGGATTCATTTTTCTCTTTCCAGCCTAGAAGCATCTGCTCTAAACATGTATTATCTCAACCAGACCAGCAAGTAGCTGAGAGAGGGCAGACTTGTAACTCTGGCACACACTTTGGAGGCTGAAGCAGAAGGATTGCTATGAGTTTGAGGACAATAAAAATTCTATTCAGAGCCAGGCTTTGTGGTGTACACCTTTAATCCCAGCACTTGGGAAGCAGAGGCAGGCGGGTCTCTGTGAGGTCAACTGCTGAGGCTTCAGAGTAACTCTAGGACAGCCAGGGGTATGTAGGGAGACTGCTTCAACAAAACAAAACAAAACACAAAATTCAATTTGGAGAATGCAGATTTATAGAAAAATGAACAAAGATGACCCATGATTCACAGGAAGCTGCTGAAAAAGTCTTCCACATAACCAGGAACTCTCTTCTCTGGGCTAGGGGGATAACGTAGTCACTGTGGGTCGCAACCTGTGGGTTCCAACCCCTTTGGCAAACCTCTATCTCCAAAAAATATTTACACTGTGATTCCTAAAAGTCGTGAGGTAACAGTTGTAAAGTAGCAACGAAAATAATTTTATGGTTGTGGGTCACCACAACATGAGAGGAACTGATTACAGAGTCCCAGCATTAGGAAGGGTGAGCGCTGATGGCTCATGGGTAATGTACTTACCGAGTGTGAGGAGCTAGCTCACACAGCCGGCTACGGTTGTATACGCCTGTGGTCCCTACACTCCTACAGCTAGACAAGAGGTAGAGGCAGGACTTCTGGAAACCTGTGTGACAGCTACCCTGGTATGACATGGTGGCAAACAAGAGACCATGTCTCAAAACAGGTGGAAGGCTAGGACCAATGAGGGAGGTTCTCCTTTGACGTCCACATGCAAACTAGGATGTGGGTGCGTCGTGCATACTCAAAGATTTTTTTAAATCCTTTTCCTAAATTAATCAAATCATAATGATTTGTTTTGTTTTGTTTTTTAGTTTAAAAACACTAGACTCTCTGATGCTTTATACTTGATGTATGTCTCCTCCATTTTTTTCCTTCTTTCCTGTTTTTTAACCATGTACCTCAGGTTGCCAGTGAATTCGTGCTGTGCTTGCCTACGCCTCCTGAGTGCTGAGGCTGTAGGAGGTGTTACCATGCGGCTGCTTAATTCTGGAAGTCTATTCTGAAACGGATCTTTTGTGTTCCATAGAGAGTTATCTGGCACAATTGCAAGCTATCTGAATCTGGCCCTATTTGTAGTATTTGAGCTACATTACACCTGTTCATTAACTGCGAATTGATAATGAATGAGGAAAACACCTCCAGACATGATGTCCGTCCATACCTTGGACTGAGTCCTGTTACCATTTAGTCACTGCCAACTTTTAGCAAGTTTTCAATTCATTTACATATTCCTTTGCTACCTCTTAGCCACTGTCCTCCAAAATAATGTTTCCAGTTCCCCCTCCTCCTCCCTGACATGACGTCACTGAGCACTCCGTGCTCACGCTGGTGTGAAGTTGGCCTTTCCCCTGGATCCAAAAAAAAGCATTGAAGTTAAAGTCCAGTGGCTCAGTAAGAGCTTCAAACAAGCCGTCGGCCACTGCTGTCAGCCACTGCCGTGCTCTTGTGGGCCTGGTTTCTCTGCGGACCTGCCACTGTGGGGGCCTACCAAGAAGATCCGACGAAACGCTCTGACCATGCCTCTTATCTGAGAGGGCACCTCCACAATTGCAGGCGCCATTGCTGAGACGTCTACAACTTCACTTCCAGGATCTCAACTAACGGTATTTCATCATCAGAGGCTTTTCACCCAGTGACCCCTTAGATGCTATTACAGCTTTTTACATTCCTTATTGCACCTGCCTCTCCTCTCCCCCTCCCCCTCCCCCTGTCCCCTCCCTCATCCCCTCCTTCTCCCCCACCCTCTGTCTCTCATTTTTTTGGTGCCTGTTCCCAGAAACTGTGTCTCAGAGTTGAAGAATAGTCCTTTCCATGGGTCTGTGGGACAGTACCTTTTTTTTGAAGATGACCGGGTACTCTATAAACATCACCCCTCTGGTACTAGGGATTGAACCAAGAGCCTTTACTAGGTAAATTCTTTACCAATGTGCTGTTCTCTAGCTTTTACTAATTTAATTATTCCTATTTAAGCCACCTAACCCTAAAATAATTGACCTTGCCCACCATGTCATCCTTTAGAAGATGGCTCCACTGATCTCTCAGGAAGCACAACCAGCTGAGGTTATCAGGAAATTATTTTTACCCTATATGTCACCATCCTTAGATTTATGATCTCGAGTTTCACTGTGACAACTGATATCATTCATTTTGAACAAAGACAAGACTGATGATGTTGGATTTTACTTTAGCCTGGAAAACAGCCCAGAAATCTTAAATGTCACAAATCTCAAATGAAACCCATTTCAAGATGTATTAAAAGGAAGGAAGGAAGAGTTGATAATGACATTTTTCCAATTCCACAATTGGATTTTTTGTGGGCACATGGTAGAGACTGAACCCAGTGCTCTGAGCATACTAGACAAACACTCTAAAACAAAGCCACATCTTAGTCCCTTAAATCTGTTTTGTCAAACTCAGTATCTTGAGGCGGCTGCCTTGGCCCCCCTGAACCTGTACCTCCAGACTCAGCATGTAAGGTCAAGGGATTCACGTGATCTGAGGGGTTCTAGATCAGCATAGGCAAAAAATAAAACCTTGTCTCTGGTGAATGAATGGATGAGTTAGAAATATTCTAATTAAGAAATTAAATACAAAAGTGTTTCCCTTATACTAAATGGTAAATATATGCTATCGCATTTGTTAAAATTCATGGATTGCCAGTGTAAGCAAGTCCCCTTAATATGCTGGATGTGGTGTTACAGACCTTTAATCAAGCATTTGAGAGGTGAAGGCAGGCAGCTCTCTGTCATTTTGGAGTCAGCCTGGTCTACCTAGTAAGTTCTAGGCTAACCAGGGGTACAGAGTGAGACTTTGTCAAAAGAAAGGAAGGAAAAGAAAGAAATCTAGAAAGAAGGAAAGGAAGGAAGGAAAGGAAGAAAGAAAATAAATATAGAAAGAAAGAGAGAGAAAGAAGAAAGAAAAGAAAAAGAGCTTTTAATATATGCCAAAAAGCTTTAGCTGGCAGTGCTTTGGTCCATGGAGTACAGTGATGCACAGGATATGGAGGGAGGGGCTGTGGATGTCAGTCAGTGGACTGGGGACTATGTATGTTTTGTCTAGTTTTGATGTTAACCTATTGCTAGTCTAAAAATACTATGTGAGTTAAGAAAAATTAAGATCAACTGATTTTCAAATTAACACAACAAATTCATTTGTACAATGACACCAGAAAGCATGTAAAGGCATGAAAGAATTCTAAGTTGAGTTTTAAGGCTTGTGACCTGGGCACAGTCGGTATAAAGGGAGTGTTGTTTAACGTTTGAAACTGTCAAACTGGAGAGATGACTCAGCAGTTAAAAGCATTGGCTGCTCTGCTAAAGCACCTAGGCTGGGTTCCCAGCATGGCTCAGTCACCCATTATTCTAGGTATAGGAGATCTGACCGTTTCCTGGCCTCCTCGGATACTACACATGCACACCATACACAGACATACATGCATGCAAAACACGTATACACGTCATATCAAAATTAATAGTTAAAAGTATTAAAAATCATAAATAATACCTTACAAGGAATGGTAGTTACACAACTATGGCCCTTGCTTTGCACTAGCTTCTTACACTAGACCAAGAAGAAAAGCAAAGATCCTCATCACCAAGATGAAGTGAAGCTGTTTTTCCTACCTCTAGACACCAGGAAAGAAAGTCGCTAACCTTCCAATAGGTGTGATGAAGGAAGCATATTGTGGGGCAAAGCTGCTCACTTGGTGGCAGGCAGGGAGCAGAGAGGGTGAAGTATGTTTAGAGAGTGAAACAGTCAACGTCAGAAAACTGCCAGAGAGTTTAATCAATCGTCTTATACCCTTTCCTGATCCTAAAGTACCTTCAGATCATAGGTTGTTCTCTTCCTGTCCCTTCCCTTGTCCCTGTCCCTCAACCTCTCCTTTTCCCCCTCCCTTTCCCCTTCCCCCTGCCCACCCCTCTCCCTTCCTCCTCCCTACCCCAGGTCTCATTATGAAACTGCAGCCCTGGCTGGCTCAGAATGCACACCACCCTAGTCTCCTTCACAGAGACCTGCCTGCCTTCCAAGTGCTGTGATTAAAGGTGTGCATCACCACACCCAGCCTTCGGCCCTCTCTAAAGTCTTTGCACATCTAACATCTGGTCCCTAAATAAAACTAACTTCATGCTGAAGCCACTTCTTCTGCTTCATGTAACTGACATGATTACACACTGCTGTTTGTAACTGTCTGGTTACTCGCCAGTGCCCATGCTCTCATCCCCTGCACTGAACAGCCAGGTGATGTCATTTTCCTGTCTACCTGTATTCATTCCCTCCATTCTTCCAGGCAAGTGATGATTAACAAAGACCCACTGTTAGTCTGGCTTGGCCTTGCTGGGTCCCAGCTTCTTCCCTGGCTGCTCCTGCTAGCTCTCATTTTAAACATTTTCCTGGGAAAAAGCTCTGTTTCTTTGGTCCCTGGTTCTCTATGTGCCCCAAACCTGGCTCTGCTTTAGTTTCCCAGCCACAGCCCTGTGGGCAGCATCAGGTGAGCAGGATGTAACAGTTTCCCTGTGTTCTTTGAGGCACTGTTACTCCTGTTTGGAAGCTATGTTCTGAAATCACCTTGATGTGTCTGGTCTCTTATTCAGTTAGTACTTTCAATCTCCCCTCCTTCTTATCAATGAAAAATCTTGGTAATTATTTGTTCCCTGATCTTTTTAGTTGGCTGACCCAGACATGGTGTCTTTCCTCAGCAGGATGGGTGGGCAGTGGAGTAGCCTAGGGAATGAGAAGGCACCATTCAGGCTGAGTTATGGGAAACTTGTAACATCTAGAGCAATTATATTCCCACAATTCTGAATTCAGCCTTGCATAGATCCAAGGCTGCTCTAGTGCCACACTCGGCTCTTGTCCTAGCATCCAGTCCACACAGATCAAAGTCCAGGGAGAAACATTTCTCAGGTTGATTTTGGCTGTTCAAAATGATGACCCTCTCTGCCAGGCAAAACAATTCACCTTGGAGGCTGGGTGTGACATTCTGTGATCAGAACTCTTCATAGCATCTGCCACAACACACACGTGTAACACACACACACAAGCATGTACACATCCGCATGCATGCACATGACCCTCTGATTCTCCTGGCAGAGGCCACCTGTCTATAAGTGAACAGTGTTAACAGAAGTTGGTGTGATCCACACTACTCAAAGGCCCAGGCTTTAGGTTGACTATATTCCTGTGATCCACACTACTCAAAGGCCCAGGCTTTAGGTTGACTATATTCCTGTGATCCACACTACTCAAAGGCCCAGGCTTTAGGTTGACTATATTCTTGTGGTGACTTCTTACAAAGAGCTTCTTCTCTTTTAGGGTGATAATGACACGTTATTCCTTCCAACTCGTGATTACAGGGTGAAAGAACCAACTGTGCTCCTCCTGTCTATGGTATTGCTGCTGTCATGGTTTGAGCATGCCCCAAGCTGATGGCACTCTCTGGGGAGGCTGGGGAGCCTTTAACAAGTGGGCCCTGGGTAGTGGAGGTGGGTCATGGATCTTTGAAGGCAAAACTCCATCCTGGTTCTAATCTGACTTTTCTGATTCCTAGTCCATGCCCTGGGAATACCACTACTACAGTCTCCTGCATCCTTGGGCTTCTCCATGTTTTCCTCATTGTGATGGAACAAAACATCTAAACCTATGAGCCAAAGGAAAGCTATCATGTCCCGTCAAGGATTTTGTCTCAGGAACAAAACAGGAAAGAAATACCATCACCAAATCTGCTGGAGACTATAGAACTTTCTGAGCTGCGCTGGTGCCACCTCAACAACGTACAGATCTATGGCTTTATATTGTGTCATATCCAAGCTGATTTATGCCGTACACACCAATGGCCGTGTGTACATGTGTGAGTGCTGTTGCAGGGTGAGAGATCAGCAGGGTTTCCCTTTCGTTACACACTAGGCTGTCAGGAATTCCCGGCTGCTCACCATCCAGTCCAGATCCCAGCCCATCTCCCACAGCTTTGGTCATCCCACAAAAATGACCTTTTTAACGTACCCTCACCTTCCTTGTGTCCCCAGCCCCTCTTTTACGGCTCCATTGACCTCTTCGTTTGTACAAGAAGCTATCCCTTATGTTTCAAAACTTCAGTCTCTGAGTTCCTCAGAGTTTTTATGACATCAAGCTCTTGCTGTATCCCGATGTAACCTCCCTCCACATCAGAAGCTGTAAATTCAACAGTGAGCAGACTGCACCTGCATGGCTCTTTGGGGGTTCTTGCTAGGTATCTGTCCATATGGAAATAAAATTACTAGAAAATGAATGATTCAAGTTGGCCATCAACCTATTTGATCAGAAGAAGTGTAGCAAAAGAAATAATTATGTCACAGATGGCTTTCATCCACTTTCATTCTTTCTGGGCACATGTGAGAAGACCCCTCTCCATGATCAGCCTGAATTGACTCTATTGACAGACATAACAGCAGGGGGTATTCAGTCAGTCCTCCCTTTGCTTAAATCAATGGAATAAAATGAGGCAGTGGGTCCATAGCTATGATTATTAGAAATAGAATTCAGAGGTCCCTGGCCCAGGTCTTGTATGTCTATGTCTTGTTCCACAGATTTCCAGAGCTTTCTTACTTTTCCCTCTGGGAAAAGGCACCCAGACTTCAGTGATGGTCATCCCAATAACTGTATGTTGGTGGGGTCTGCTATGTTCAAACAAGGGTAGAAATGAGTCTCAGAGTGGCACCAGCCTTGCTGGATTCACATGTAATCCGATTTTGGATAGGAAACCTTCTGTTTGTAGAGCTGGCTCTAGAGGTCCTGTTGTAGATTCTGGTACTGGGAACATTGGGGACTGTGGTATGAGGAGGGTTCAGGGCAAGGACTTAAGAGTTTGAAGACCACCTTTGCTCATTTCCGGAGAGCCTGGGATGAGCTCTTCCATTTACCTGTTTCATCACCTATAACTTGGGGACAGTAATTTTATTGTATTGTAGCTGCCAGGACTGGGAAAGGTTGGAGAAGCTGAGCTTTCAACTGTATGTATTTCTCCAGTTTTAACTGTTGCTGTAAAGCTATAACACTGTGTGTGTGTGTGTGTGTGTGTGTGTGTGTATCTGTGGGGTTGTGTGTATGTGTTTGTGTGTATATGTCTGTGCATTTGTGTGTGTATGTCTGTGTGTTTGTGTGTATGTTTGTTGTGTATGTCTGTGTGTTTGTATGTCTGTGTGTTTGTGTCTATGTGTTTGTGTGTGTATGTTCATGTGTGTCTGTGTATCATTATGCTTCTCTGCCATCAGCTCTCAAGTCCATGGACCCTGCTTCTCAGCCAAATTATTCCTTTTTATTCCCAGGAGCTTGTTTTATAGGAGCTAGCACACGGTGTGTGGCATTGACAGCATTTGCCTTTCTCAGCTCATCAGGTTTTCCTTGCTTGTGGGTTACTCTGCGCCCTTCCTCATAGAGTTGAAACACAAATAGCTTTGTAGGGGGTTGGATTTTCTGAGGTTTCTGGTCCCTTCCTCCACCTTGCGAGGCGTTAATGCTTGTTTGGAAGTGTGGCTTTCTCGATGCTGCTGACAGCCACATAGTTTCATGTTCCATCTCAACATCTCCACTCAGTACATCTCAAGTGACAGACATCCAACAACCCTTAGCTCCTAGCACTCCGTCATGACCTGGCTTTCATCCTGAGAAAACATGGAAACCAAGCTCAAAGGGTGGTACTTTTAAGCGCCAATTAGTCCTCACCGTGGATCTTGGCTACACAAAGCTGGCAAAGGCCACTGTTCCACTTTTATGTTTAGAGAAGTCAGCATGTGTAAAGGCTAGAGGACAGAGGCTGATTGAAGGGTCTGGGCTGACCCTGTCTCTGGGAGTTAGGCCATTTGACCAAGGGCCGGGTGCCTTACCACACGCCCTTCTGCACAGCTCCACCGGGTTATTTGCTCATACCTATATTTACACACCAGCTTTCCCCCCACCCCCCAGAATTATAACGATGCCAAACCCCATTATTTCCAACAAACCACTTCTTTATTTGCTTTATTTTCTCTAATTCTGGGACAGATGAAAAGCTTTGCACAGCTCTAAGAGTAAGGGTGAATTCTTGTTGGTAAAAGACCTATTCTGGGGCTGGAGAGATGGCTCAGTGGTTTAAGAGCACTGACTGCTCTTCCAGAGGTCCTGAATTCAATTTCCAGCAGTCACATGGTGGCTCACAACCATCTATAACAGGATCTGATGCCCTCTTCTGGTGTGTCTGTAGACAGCTACAGTGTACTCATATATACATAACTAATGAGAGAGAGAGAGAGAGAGAGAGAGAGAGAGAGAGAGAGAGAGAGAGAGAGTTGACTGGGTGTGGTGGTGCACCTTAATCCTAGCTACTTCAGAGGCTGGGGCAGGAGGATCTTGATTTGTACAACTGTTGTGTTTTATAAAAAGGAGCCAAGGATATGTTTTGTAGAGCGCAGTGTGTTAGTGTGTTAGGGTGGGAGGGGTGCCTTGGTGGGCCCATGCTGAGGCATCCCTTCCCCCTGAGGGACCAGTTATAGTGTAGAATAGAGTTTATTTAGGGCACAGGAAGGGGAGTTGAGAAGGGAGTAGAAATGGAGAAAGAGAGAGACACATAGACAGAGAGAGACAGAGAGACAGAGAGAGACAGAAACAGACACACACAGACACAGACACAGAGAGAGACACAGAGAGAGAGACAGACACAGAGAGAGAAGGAGAGAGAGACAGAGAGAGAGAAAGAGACAGAGAGAAGAGGTCAGCCAGGAAACTGGAGAGAGAGGGGGATGGGGAAGAGGTAAGGGAAAGAAGATAGTCAGAGAGAGGGAGGGAGAGAGAGAGAGAGAGAGAGAGAGAGAGAGAGAGAGAGAGAGAGAGAGCAAGAGAGCAGAGAGATCAAGGAGGGGTCAAGTAGCCCCTTTTATAGTGAGCCAGGACTACCTGGCTGTTGTCAGGTAACTGTTGGGCAGGGCCTAGAAGGAATGCTAACATTCCTTTCTTTTGATTTAATTTTTAAAATGATAAACTAGAAAGTGGTGATGGTGAAGCAGAAATAGGGTCACAGTGATCTTTAGCTACTTCCTGCTGATATGGGGCGACGTGTTTCTGGGAATTGAAGAAAATGTGTATGAGAGTGTTGGTCCAGTATTAGGAGAGTTGGCTGTTTCCTTGTTGTCCAGGGTCTGTGGAATCATCTGTAAGTAGAAGGGGCAGGTCCAGTAGAAGCATCTGTGTCTGTGAGAGTAGGTTGGAACATCTGTGGGTTGCCTCTCTGGAGCTGTCCTGGATGTAGATTCTGAGTAAACACCTAGACTTGGCAAGATGCTGAAACACACATACACATTAGAGACAGAAAATAAAGTAGGTTTGGGAGAAAAACTTTATTTTAGTTGTACATTTGAAACTCTTATGTCTTAGTGGTTGGGGTGAGGGAGGTTCCAATACCAGGGCACAGGAGAGGAACCCCACCCTCTGGGATAAGGAGCAAGTGGGAACTTAGGCTATTGATTGGCAGGTGTACTTATATAGATAAAGTCTATTTGGTCCACGAGAGGTAGATCTGAGTGGGTTTCCTGGAGCTTATAAATTTATAAAAGAAATACATTTGTTAACAACATGAAAAGTCTTTAAGGTGAGCTTAGGGAAGACAAAACTCTTCGTGGAGCAGAAAGAACAAGAAGGGCTTTTTTTTCTGTCTAGGAGTCTGTGTATATATAAATTTAGCACAATGAGAGGCATTTTTAAGTTTACATTTAAAAGATGAAGGAAACTCAAAATCTCAACTTTGTGAAAATGATAGCTGATCATATAGATTTACCATGAGAAACACCTTAAGTCTATAGCTAAACGGCAACCAAAGGAAATGTAGCTTTTGAACTATGTTAGCTGATAGTATAGATTTAGGATGAGAAACATTTTAAGTCTAAATAAGTTAGAAGACAAAGGAAACTTAAAATTAGAAATTGTGATATAAAAGTGGACCATATAGTGGAATGTTTTATTAAAATTAGGCTTATTTAAAAGAACTCCATTGGTAAATGTTAGGATAGTGGTATAACAAGGGGAGGAAATCTGAAGCATTTAGTCACCAGAAGCTGAGTTTAGTTAAGTGACCAAGCCAACTCAGTCACTCAATGGGTTCTCCAGGGAGGGAGGGAGGATTAAAAAGAAAAAGACAATTAGACAACACTGTAGCATGACCCCAGCCAGTTCTAAGGCTGAAGTGGTTTTATGTTTTTTTTCCAGTCTGCCTTTATACCATTTTACATACATGCAAATAATAAGATCACTTCTAGGTTAAGGAAAAACAAGGCAACACACAAAGTCCTGTGATCACTGCTTCTAGGGGCTCATCATGACGTCCAAGATAAAAGAAATGCCACATTCCTCGGCTGAGTTTACCTTGAGCTTTGTATTAGCCCAAAAGTAAATATTCTTTTTTTAAAGATTTATTTATTTATTATATATGAATACACTGTAGCTGCCTTCAGACACACCAGAAGAGGGCATCAGATCTCATTACAGATGGTTGTGAGCCACCATGTGGTTGCTGGGATTTGAACTCAGGACCTCTGGAAGTGCAGTCAGTGCTCTTAACCACTGAGCCATCTCTCCAGCCCAAAAGTAAATAGTCTTATCTGAGCCTATTTCCCAAGCTATTGGAAAGCTATTGTCCAAGCTCAATGTCTAATTCCTGCCAAATTTCTAGAAAGGACCCCCAAAGCTCCCCCATCTCTCCCCCTTTTTTTTTATTTCATAAAGAAGACTACATCTGCCTTAGGTTGTTCTGACAAGAATACCTTCCTTACCCATCTTGGAATATGCATTATCAAAACCAATGCACTTTGTCTTAGGTTGGTAAGACTCTGTGCAGAAACTTACCCATCATTGACTGCCAGCCTGTTAAATTAATAACTGTTTGGGGGTCCATTTTTAGTTTCAAGCCATGTATTTTGGCCACCAACTTTTTGATGTTGTTAAAGGCCAAGTTTTATCACAATGGGGAGGAATAAAAGTATTCCCAGGACAAGAAAGGCTAGCATGATCAAGCTATATATGCCATTCTTGAAGCTTGACCAAGATGGAATACTGACCTCAGGCCATGAATAATTTTATCAGCAATATCTGCAGTATCAAAGCTCAGTGGAGCAGCATTCTTTAAATTCATAATCTCTGTACGTAAAGTTAAAACATTCAGAGGGGTGTTAGAATTATGCCAAATACCCTGCAAGTGTCTTTGAACTTTTTCCCAATTATAGTGACTATCATTGTAAATTTTAGAAGTAACACAAATCCACTGGTATTTGGCA